CTATTGTTGCGGAATTTGCTGGGAATTGCCATGTCCCTATCATATTTATCTAATCTTCCATGTTGATTTCTAAATCCTCCCCACTGTTTATCTTCTCCTCTGTTGTTCATCCCCTGACTTCCAAAGTTCACAACCTTTATCGTTTCATATATAACCCATCATAACACAAAACGTATTATCACCATGAAACCCTCCAGAAGATCCTTCCTATGCTAAAATTTTTTCCTCCTCCAGATCCTACGTTACTTCCTGCTGACCTATTTCTCTGGAAACATGAGCCATTATTTTCCATTTCGTGAAACAGGAAAGGAACCATCATTAACTTCAAAACTTCCTCTACTATTACCCCTTTTTATTTCTTTTCTTCTGCCTGGATTCATAAGCTTCATCAAAATCATCATCCCTACCAGAATTGAGCTCTAGTTCATCACCTGGGCCAAAGCTTAATTCTCTACAAGCACCTCTAGCACCACTTCTCCTATGCCTTGAATCAGCAACATGATTGGATTTCCAGTTAGGATGAATAGAAAGTTCTCCATCTGAATCAAAGTTCGGCTCAGAATCAGAGAAACACCACTGACCTGGGGTCCATCTGCAGCTCAGGGATGACCTCGGGGCCTGAGGCAGCGAAGGGAGTAATTTTGGGTTCAGGCATTCGGGTGGCTTGGAGATTGGTCTAGTGTTCGGGAAGGCTAGAGAGAGACTCAGGATAGTTGTGACCCAATGTCCCAAACAACTTGTGAATTATATTATGAAATTGTGGCTAATAAATAGGAATTTGAAATATACTTATTTTACTCTTAGAAATGTAAATGATGAAAGATGGATCAAATCCAATAACATGCGCAAAGTGTAAAAAATAATGAATTGAATTTGGACCCTCCAAATTATATTAAACCCTACCAAATTTGTGCTCGCAATCCCAAACATAAAATGTGCAATAAGCAAGCATATGAGATTAGATAACACAAAATTTTAACATAATTATGAAAGATTTATTGAGAGAGAGCATAATTATTAAAGATTTATTGAGAGAGAAAATAAAAGAAAACTTGAATCATTTCGTAGATAAATGCCTAATCTTGTCGCACCTGCCTTGGCTCCTTAGTCACCTTTCATCGAATC